AAAGTGAGTGCCATTGTCTGATTATTTCCTAAGGATAAATCGGTAGGCATGGGTTAAAGTGCACGCCCATTTTAAAGTTTTCCTTCTGTAAGGTTTATACTAATTTTTACTACCACCCCGGCATATGAACTTATTTGCCCAAGACTTTTTCTCGTTTTCAATTCCAATTCTTTATTTATAACTAGGTTAAACAATTTTGTATACCCTTCTTACCTGCTTTCATTACTTTTCTGTAGACAGTCCCTTCGAATCTTTTTCTCCTAGGTTGTCTTTTTCTCATCGGTTTATAATTGATCTTTTATACATGTATGTATCTATATATAAAATAACAGAGTGTTATCTTACAGAGTTTCTCTAGTTTTCTTTTAACCTCATATTATCTTTTGAGGGTCAGTTTTAACCCAGGCTGGACTTCGCACTAAAAAGCCTCCGGGGTCCAGTTAGGTGGGCGGAGCCAGCATGTCCGGGACAGGTCTGCCCCTCCCCACCTCGCCTCTCCACCTTCTCAGGAGGCGGAGCCAAAGGACGCTCCGTCTACATGCGCAGCTCCCGTTGCCATAGCGCCGAGGGGCGGGAAGCTGGCTCCTCCCAGCTCCAGTTCCCAGCGGAAAAACAAAACCTAGAGAGCGAAGACTTCGGCGTCGCGAGAGTCCCCGACGTGCGTAATGTTGACGCACGTGACGCCAGCCCGGCCCAGAGGACGCGTGCGCAGTGTATGTGTTAGGGTCCTCAGGCTGCCGTCTGCGAGCGTTCGGGGGCGGCGCGGCTTGGAAGTGGGCGCACGTTCCCCGGGCTGCGTGGGTGGGTGTGGGCTCCCTTTCCGGCCTTCCGGCGCTTCGCCTCACTACCTCTTTGGCTGGAGACGCCGCAGACCCTAGGAGCGGCCACCCCAGGAAGTAGCCCCGGAGCGGAAGTGGAGAATGGCCCCCTTGAGTGAGGAGGGCAAGTGAAGCGTCCCCTCAGCAGATCTTGGGGGCAGAAGTGGGCGTGAGCGAAGGTAATCTAGACTTGGGTTCTAAGGCCGGTCCTCCCTCGACTTTCTAGTGGGTGAGACGGGCTGGAACGGAGTTTCTTTCCCGTCAGGGACCGGGCGGCTGGATTGGAGCTTGAGACCCACTTCTACCAGATGAAATGAAGTCTTGGGTACCCCTGTCACAAAGTAAGCCCTCATACACATTAGCCATTATTTTCACGGTTGCTGGGAGGAGTTGGCGGAAGCACTTCTAACTCCTTGTGTTAATTGCAGAGGTAACAACTGTTTATGAGATTTTGTGATAGGCCTACAAATTTGCGGGAATTCTCTTTGAGGCTTTGGACTGGGGGCTGCAAAACTTCCTACCCGACTCTTGAAAATAAGAATGGTAATACTGACTCTTCTAACAGAATTATGATGGCACAAAGCTTTGTAGAGGGTTTAAGGAAAGAGACTGGACCACACAGAAGATTTTCAATACACTCCGTAAACCACATGCACTTTTTTTTTTTTTTTTTGGTCACGTGTTGAAGTCCTGAAGTGAAGTCGAAATGCATTATTATGACTCATATTCATGATCAGAGAAGTCATGGCCTTTTGTACTAGAGCGTATGATAGCCGTTCATACTTCCTGAGTGCTTACTGTGTACTAAGCCCTGTTCTAATCTCTTGGGATGATAGATGAGTAAACGAAACAAAGATTCCTGCCCTTGTGAACCTTAACATTCTAGTTTGGGGAACACAAACAATAAACAGTATACGTAAATTTTATGTCAGAAGGAAATAAGTGCCATGGAAAAATGAAAAAAGTACAGCGAGGTAAGGGACGTTGGGAGTGCAAGATGCGGTTTTAAGTAAGCATTTCAGGATAGGCTTCACCGAGAAAAGTTTGGGCAAATGCTTAAAGGAGGTGGAGTTAGCTTTTCAGAGCATTCCAGGCAAAGGGACTGACCAGTGTGAAGGATTTGGGATGTGCCTAGTGTCTTCAATGAGCACTGAGAAGGCCTGTGGCTGGGGCAGAATGAGTAAGGGGTGGGTAGTCTTAGGAAAAGGAGCCCTGGTGGCACAATGGTTAAACACTGGGCTGCTAACCAAAAGGTCCCAGGTTTGAACTCACCAGTTCCTCCGTGGGAGAAAGCACCTGGAGATGAGTTTCTATAAAGATTACAGCCTAGGAAACCCTATAGGGGGTAGTGCTACCCTGTTTTGTAGGGTCACTGTGAGTCGGAATCAACTCCACGTAACACAACAGTAATAGGAAAAAGATTAAAGGTAAAGAGTGGGCCTAGAGGACAGAAATTCTGTAGGCTTATAGGGTAGCTATGGGTTGGAATGGACTCATTGGTCGGCAGTTCAAATCCATCAGCCACTCCTTGGAAACCCAATGGGGGAGTTCTACTCTGTTCTGTAGGGTTGACTATGAGTCAGAATCAACTCACCGGTAACTAGTTTGATTTCTTTGTTTTGGTAGGCAATGGTAAGGACATTGGCATTTACTTTCAGTGAAATGGAGAGCAGTTGCAGGGTTTTGAGCAGAGGAGTACCACAATCTAAATTTTACAAGATTGCTTTTCTCATGTTACAGAATAGACTGTAGGAGGCAAGGATAGAGGCAAACAGACTCTACAGCAGTGATCTATAAAATAGGTAACAGTGTCTACAACCAGGAGTCTGGTAGGTTGAAGATGGATGAGAGGTGGTTGTATTTGATAGTACAAAACATAATGTTTGGCTAAGTACATGTACAGTCATGGATTGTCAACCTTTATGCTGTTCAGTATAATTCATAATTTTGGTTTATGTGCCACAGCTAAAGTGTAGTCAGGAAGAGGAGTGGGATATTGAGTAGTTTTAGTTGTTCTCCTGTGAAGATAATTACCTATTAGGTAAGACTTCAGACCTTAACTTCGGTAATTAATTAGCATGTGAGTTAATGACTAAAATCAGACTTTTTCCAAAATGGAATATGGTTGAGATCTAAACATGGTTGTAGAGTTTCTAATAAGACAGAAGAACTTATTATAATAAACAAGTTTTTTGTAATAAACTTTTATTTGACCATGTATAGGACTGTAGTGAATATGAATCTTTTTGCCTTCCTTCAGAAATTTGTCTAAATATAACTTGTAACAGTTTTTAAAAAAATTGATCTAAGGTGAGAAAAAGACATTGTGAAAATTAATCTCTATTTACAGGTAATTTGGAAATTTGTTAAGTAGATACACTGTGACAAACAAATGACTAAGAAGATTCTTGTTAATTTAAGGAGTTTACAAACCGGTAGACAGACTTGTAAATTAAACAAAATAAGGAAGGATAAAAAAATGTGTTAAAAGAACAAAACAAAGTAAATGCTAGTAAAATGAAGACATCTGGATATTATTGTGTTTATTGTGCTGGTTCATCTTTATTTCCCATTTTAATCATGAAACATCAGCTTTTTGTGAGATGGTAATTTAGTTGTCAGTTTTTTCATGAACATTTAGATTTTTTTGGAAAACGTAGAATGTGTTGAATATGCTAAATAAAGTTAGAATTCATGAACTAAAGCACTTATTGATTAACAGTGCACTAATAGGTACCATGTAATACTCATTGCCCTATCTGCTGGAATTTAGAACTTTTCCAACATTTTGCCATTAAGCCATAACTCCTTTCTCTTATATCCCTTTCTCTTGACAGGGCACAGATGTTTTTGTTACCTTATGCAGTGTTAGAACACAGAATGTAGGGTGACTATTTGTAATTTGTATATTTGGTAAGCATATTTCTTCAGTTTAAAATCCTGCTATCAAAATGTACTAAAAAGTTTTATTGGCAAGAAGAAATAGTGATATTTTATAGTGTAAGCATGGAGCTTAGGAATTTAGTTGATGATTGTCTGAACAGACCAAATGAGGCATGAATCTGTAGCTTTTAGATACATGTCGGTGTGAACTACAGGTCAATTTCAGCATCAAGCAGAGGTAGGGTAGCCATTCAGGTAAAGCACAGTACCCAAGCAGAATGTTGATGAGTGTTAGTTGGTGGCCTAAATAGGTGGTTGGCACCACCAAAGCACTTAGCATCAGAGTGAAATCTGGACAGAGAGGATGTATTCCGCAATCCTGGTAGGTGGGTCAGTGGGTGCTGTCAGAGAGGCCTAGTAGCAGGACCAGTCCTGGGTTCGTGTGCAGGATCCCAGTCTGGAAGGAGGTGAGGTGCAGAGGAAACTAAAAAAAGTTGAAGGTCACTTGTAGAAATTGATCAAAGATTATGTTCATGGATGAACTTTTAAGTAGGCGTACGTGTGGAGCAGTGTGGTGGTGTCAGAACTGTGGGTAGAGGAGAACTTGGGGGAGCAGCTAGATGGGTTAATACAGTAATAAGAGCTGCCATACACTGATGATTCTTCTATGTGTATGCTTTTTATATGCTAGTATGTTTTGTGTTCATTTAAAAAGATGATAATATCTTCAATTTTTAATGAGAAGAAACAGACTCAGAGATGTAATTTGCCCAAGGCCACTTATGAAGCTGTAAGAAACAGAGCTAGAATTTGAATCCAGGGTTGTTAGATATCAAAGCCTATGCTCTTGCTCTGTGGAGTTTGTCATGAGTGTGATCAGGTTTGCTGCTGATTTCACTCACTAGTAAATTTGATTTATTATGTCTTTTCTTTTCCTAGATTTTAATTTAATTTGAAAATGAGTAAGTACAAAAAGCCACCAGTTCATCAGATAGCAAGTCCTGAGACGTTCAGCCCAGATGTTCTTGCTGACATTTTTGAACTCTTTGCCAAGAACTTTTCTTACGGTAAGCCATCTAATAATGAATGGCAGTTACCAGATCCCAGTGAGATTTTCACCTGCAACCACGTGGAATTTAATTCATTTCTTGATTTGAAGAACTCTCTGAATGAAGTAAAAAACCTACTAAGTGATAAGAAACTTGATGAGTGGCATGAGCACACTGCTTTCACTAATAAAGCTGGAAAAATAATTTCTCATGTGAGAAAATCTGTGAACGCTGAACTTTGTACTCAAGCATGGTGTAAGTTTCATGAGATTTTGTGTAGCTTTCCACTTATTCCACAGGAAGCTTTTCAGAATGGAAAACTAAATTCCCTACACCTTTGTGAAGCTCCTGGCGCTTTTATAGCTAGTCTCAATCACTACTTAAAATGCCACCGGTTCCCCTGTGATTGGAGTTGGGTAGCCAATACTCTGAATCCATACCATGAAGCAAATGACAATCTAATGATGATTATGGATGACCGGCTTATTGCAAATACTTTACACTGGTGGTACTTTGGTCCAGATAACACTGGTGATATCATGACTCTGAAATATCTGACTGGACTTCAGAATTTCATAAGCAGCATGGCTACCATTCACTTGATCACTGCAGATGGGAGTTTTGATTGCCAAGGAAACCCAGGTGAACAAGAAGCTTTAGTCTCTTCTTTGCATTATTGTGAAGTTGTCACTGCTCTGACAACTCTTGGAAATGGTGGCTCTTTTGTTCTGAAGATGTTCACTTTGTTTGAACATTGTTCCATAAACCTGATGTATCTGCTAAACTGTTCCTTTGACCAAGTCCATGTTTTCAAACCTGCCACTAGTAAGGCAGGAAACTCAGAAGTCTATGTGGTATGTCTCCGCTATAAAGGAAGAGAGGCCATCCATCCTGTGTTATCTAAGATGATGCTGAATTTTGAGACTGAAATGGGCAGCAAAGCTCTCTTTCCCCATCATGTGATGCCTGAATCTTTTCTTAAAAGACATGAAGAATGTTGCATGTTCTTTCATAAGTATCAGCTAGAGACTATTTCTGAGAACATTCGTCTGTTTGGGTACATGGGAAAAGAGGAACAAGCAAAGCTGAATAATTTAAGGGACTGTGCTGCACAATATTTCATGCAGAAGTTTCAGTTGAAGCCTCTTCCCAGAAATAATTGGCTAGTAAAAAGATCTAATATTGGTTGTAGTACAAATACAAAATGGTTTGGGCAGAGGAACAGGTATTTTAAAACATATAATGAAAGGAAGATGCTGGAAACCCTTTCATGGAAAGATAAGGTGGCTAAAGGATACTTTAATAGTTGGGCTGAAGAACATGCTGTATATCATCCTGGGCAGAGTTCTCTTTTAGAAGGGGCAGGTTCCAATCTTGAGTGTCACTTATGGCATATCTTAGAGGGAAAGAAACTGCCAAAGGTAAAATGTTCTCCTTTCTGTGATGGTGAAATTTTAAAGACCCTTAATGAAGCAATTGAAAAATCATTAGGAGGGGCTTTGAATGTAGATTCCAAGTATAGGCCAAAACAGCAGTATTACTGTTCTTGTCATGTTTTTTCTGAGGAACTGATATTTTCTGAGTTGTTTAGCCTTACCAAGTGCCTTCAGGATGAGCACGTTGTGGGACCCAGCAACCAAATAAAGTGCCTACTTGTGGGTTTGCCAGCTCTCTATGATATCAAAATGAATGTACCATTGGAAGTTCAATTCCTGGAATCGGCTGAGCTCATGACTTTCAGCTGCTCATTGCTTCATGATGGAGACCCGAAATACCAGCAATCATTTTTGAACTGCCTTCTACATTCACTGCAGCAGCTTCATACAGGAGATGTTTTGATTTTGCCTATACTTTCTTGTTTCACAAGATTTATGGCTGGTTTGATCTTTGTACTCAACAGCTGTTTCAGACTTATCACATTTTCTTGTCCTACATCCTCTGAGCCTCTGAGGAGTTGTGCAGTCCTGCTATGTGTTGGCTTTCAGGACATTCCAAGTCCCGTTTTCCAGTATCTGCAGAATGTGAATGAATTGTTGAGCACATTGGTTAACACTGATGCACCTCAACAGGTTTTACAGTTTGTGCCAATGGAGGTGCTCCTTAAAGGGGCACTGCTTGATTTTTTGTGGGATTTGAACGCTGCCATTGCTAAAAGGCATTTGCATTTGATTATTCAAGCAGAAAGAGAAGAGATCATCAATGGCCTTCAGTTATGAAATTGAGCATATTCTTTCTGAGCTTCAACTATGGCTTTTTATAGTTTGTAATGTTGTTTCATCCCTTTGCTCTATTAATGCTAAGCCTTAGCAGTTTTCATTTTGAGGAAAAGCCAAATTGCATCATTCAAAGTCTTATCATTTCTGGGAAACCACCAGCTAGTTCTGACCTTTGATGTATGCACACCCACAGGCATAGAGTTCTTCCCATGTGGTGGAATCTATGCAATGATGATATTCAACCTCTAAACCTGAGGGGGGTGTGTGTGCTTAGGGTGCACACCCATGCCGTTTAGTTGATCTTATTTATCAGTTTAAGATTTACCTGTGTGCCTTCATTCGGGATAAATTTTTTTTCCCAACTAAGTTCATCTAAGCAGACTGTTTCCATATGGCACAATGGCTAATGCTGTTAATGAATCGATTAGGTCATTGGTGAAAGGAGGTGAGTCACTTAGCAATACTGACTTCCTTTAACACTTAAAATGTCAGTTGTGGATTTAAGGGAACTCATCTTGCCAGATTTCTTGATATGTGCCATTCATTGCTCTTAGGCCATTGACCCAGTTTACTTTTATGGTTCAAATGAAGCTAGTGTACTGTTTCATGAATATTTTATTAACCAGAACCATTCACAGAAAGGTTACCGGCACAGCTTGAAACCAAAGACCATGTTTAAAACAATGGAAAATTGTTTGCTGTGTCTAATAACACTCTTGTATCATGAAAAGCTTCATTTAACAAAGGTGTAATAATTTTTAACTTCCAGGAAATAATCTGGGAACTAAACATTTTTTTTAATTGCAAAATAGTGTTTATGACTTCATATTGGGGACATATGAATGTGATGAACAGTGAATACTGAAGACAATTTTAATGCTTTCAGAATGATGGTTCAGCATTTTAAAAATTTCTTTAATCTTTACTAATTATCTCTTTCAGTATGAAAATGACACTTTACCAAGAAGATCAGCCATGAGATGGTTATTTTATTAGTTACATTTAATTTCTTTTAAGTTGTATGTATTTGACAGTGTAATATGAGCTTTTCTAACTATATCGAGCAAATCTCCACTACCTTGAAGTTCCACAAATGAAGAATATTTATATTGTCATATATGTATTTTAGGCGTTTTTGTTAGTTATATGAAAAATAGATGTATTCTGTGACGTATTTGGTTGATGAATATTAATCTGAAAATTTTTCGTGTTCTTTGCCATTTTGAATTCCATTATAGATTCATGAATAAAATCATTAGCAGAGAGATTGTTTTCATCTTTTCTTTTTAAAAAAGAATCATGGAGGGGGTAGTTAAAAATGTAATTTGAGAATAGACTTTTTAAAGGAAGGTTTGAATGAGAGCTAATAATTCTTCTGATTTCTATTCATTAGAATTTGGTCCTTAATATTATTTATGGAAGATATCCTTTGGGAGAGAAATTGAGAACTTGATGGAGGGGTAGGGATTTAGTTCTTGCCAGAGTGGGTGTGGAGGCCTGGAGGGGTAGATTTCTGAAGGAAATGTGTTTCCCACTGATGATGTATAGGAATTTCTTTTTGAGAGAAACGGAAGGAAAAATGCTGTCCAAGAAATGAGTGAAAAAGTAGAGGAGGACAGTAAGATGTGAAAGGTGGTTTGTATAGTTTATCAAGTTACTACCCTTTTTTTTTTACATTTTTTAACTGAGATTTTTAACTTAATTGTGATGCTTTTGGAAGAGTTTTTAGCAGCCAGAAAATTTAAACTTCACAAATATGTTTCTTCAAAAACTTGGGAGAAAAAGATGTTTTACAAATTTAATTTCTTCAATATTGATTTTTGTTCTCAAGAAAGAAATTTAGTTTTGTTATTGAGGGTTTTTGTGTATTGCCCCAGTGTTGTATAAATATTTAAATGCATTGAAAATACCTTTAAAATAAAATACCAATTTATGAATTTTACTCCTATCTTTAAGATTTTTTTTTTTGTTTAAAGAGATTGTGCTAAGGTTTTTTTTTT